GTGTGGGGTTACAGCCTAACCCCATCCCTCCCGTGGGGAATTCAGAAGCCAAAGCATACCTGTGTGGGGTTACAGCCTAACCCCATCCCTTCCCAAGGACTCCCTCGCTGTATCAGCTCACAGCTCCCTCCCATTTCCGTGCAGGGCAAGTCTGGGCCAGTTCCACTTCAGTCACAGGAGCTTGGAGGAAAAGCTCCCCCCTGAGCCTCCTCTTCTCCASGCTGAGCCCCCCTAAATCCATCAGCCTCTCCTCACAGGAYTCCCCTTATTTAGGACGCATTTTTATTTGGCTCAAAATGAAAGGTTCACAGCAGGATGGGTGAATCAAACACCCAGTGACCAGCTGCTGACTGTTCTGCTGGGCATCCTCTGGTTCACAGCCACATTTCCCCCCTCCAGAGACAGCTGACAGCCCCAGTGCCCAACGGTGCCATTTACAGACTGATAAAATCCCATTTCCACCTGTGCTGCTTTCCCATGGTTTCCCCTTTGACAGTTCTTAGAGAGCCCTGTAACTTCAGTCGCTCCCACCGGTGATGGTGAGTGCAAACTCTGGAGCTCTGAAGAGCTCTGCCAATGCCAGAGCTGGACAAATCACAAAGCATTTCTTTAGTATTTGCTTCAGAGGGAGAAAAGTAATCTCATGTAAGCAAACATTAAGCATATAGACTACAAGGCCTTTTTTTCCATAAAAAAAAAGCTGCTATTCCCTCTTACTCACACACACGCCTGCGCGAGCCAGGCTTGTTTTAAAGGAAAACATCCCAAATGTCCCTACAAATGTGATAAAATCCCAAGCGATGTGGATGCTGGGGAGGCCAGGCTGCATTCCTCACTCCTGCTTCTGTGCCTGCAGCCAGCCACGCTGGAAACCTTCCACCAGCTTCCCAAAATGTTTCTTGAATTGTGTCCTTGAGCAGTTCCAGCTCTTTGTGAACTTTATCAAGCTGAATTTCCACCGAGACAGTCCCAAGAGCAGCAGCAATCTGTAACTCGCCTGCAGCAAGCTTCAATTACTTCTCACTGTTTCAGGCTTGTCTCCAGAGCTAAAAAGGTGGAGCTTTTCCCTGCAGGGTACAAGCTAACCCAGGGGAAACATGCACCAGGAAAGATGAGCCACGTCAACTCTTTCATTGCTCACTTGGGTTCGGCAAGAAAGCGGAAGAGATTTTAAATAATGGARTAACATTCATGTGTAAAGTTTAGCTAAAGGTGTCTAACCCAGGTGGAGGCAACTTTATCAATAGTATCTTTATGTACCAACTTCTGTGTATTTTACAGATGGGTCAAAAAGAGACAAGACCCCAARCTTCCAACTGTTCCAGCAATTTGTGTAGAAGAGATGAAAACAAAAATTTATGCACAGCTGTCTATGTGGATTTCAGAGATCTCCAGAATAGGTCAGGCTGGAAGGGAGCACTGTAGGTCACCTGGTGCCACCTCCCTGCTCCAGCAGGGACATCCCAGAGCACACACACAGGATYGTGTCCAGAGGCTCTGCAATGTCTCCAGTGAGGCAGACTCCACAGCCTCTGGGCAGCCTGTTCATCGCTCCGTCACTGCACAGGAAAGAAGTTCTTCCTCATGTTAGCTGGACTTCCTGGGCACCAGTTCCTGCTCATTGCTGCTGTGCCATCGCTGTCCCCTGGAGCAGAGCCCTGCTCAGAGCCCTCCCTGCACCCAGAACACCCAGAGCTGAGGGTGTTTTCAGATGGGCTCCTCTGGAGGCTGAGCAGCCCCAGCTCCCTCARCCTTTCCTGGGCAGGGAGATGCTCCTGGCCCTTCCCATCCCTCTGGATCTGCTCCATGTCCCTCCTGTCCTGAGGGTCCTGAACTGGACACAGCACCCCAGATGTGCCTCCCCAGGGCTGAGCAGAGGGGCAGGAGCCCCTCCACTGACAGAGAACAGTGCTGCAGCCAAGGATGCTTCTGTCAGCACAGAACCACTCCAAACAGAACCAGACCTGTCCTCATTTCGGGATGCAGCCAGGTAGGAACACCAGGGGACCAGAGCATCACGCTTTTCTCTGGCACACCTCCCACACCAATTCTGGATGTCCAGGTCCAGGCCAAGGCTGCTCGGCTGGTTCAATGTGTGCCACAGCCCAGGACAACAGCAAAGCAGGCAAAATCATGGAAGGAAAGGCTTTTYACTTGATTTTGCAGCAAATCTCCTGCTTGCTCTTCCTCTCGAGYGATCTGTAGGTCAACAGCACTGGTTTCTAAATGAAGCTGACTCTGAAGGGCTGCTGGGAGCTGCACTGGGATGCTCCCTCCAAGCCTGCTGAGAGTGCCAAAACCTGCAGTGGCAGGATGAAACCTGGCATTCTGCTTCTTTAGGCTGGCAGACAAGAGTTGCATCCCGTTGTGCTTGGTCTTGGAAAAAACAACTGATTTCTGTACTATTTGAGAGAACAAAAGRTTTCCTAATTATTTAACACTGTTTTTTTTTAATAAGAGGCATCTGGCTTGCAGGATCAATCCCCCTGAATGACTCCATCCTTTCACGGCAGCTCGGAAGTGCCTTACACACCATCCCCGTGGAACCGTGCTCCCGACCAGCGCATTTTCTATTCACTGGCAAAAGATTCAGAAAGCTCCATCTGGTGAATTCAGCAGCAYGGTCTGAATTGCAGTAAAGCTGAACTCGATTCAGAACCCTTTGGTTCCCTGTCTGTCRTTCAGAAGCTGCTGGGTTTTGCCAAACCAGCAGCAGCGAATCGCCCTTGCCCCCAGCTTCCACAGAAACTTGCAGCACACTCTGCAGCTTCCTCCAGCCTTTCACTACTTTCCCTTTTAACTCCTGGAAGATAACACTTGCAGCTGAAGATGAAATCTTAAATGTTTTCAAAACACAAACCAAGAAGTTAGGAATTTTCTGACCCTAGCACAGGTATAACCACTATTCAACTGGAAARTTATTTTCCAAGAATTAATGATCCTCTGCCATGCCTCTCACACTGACCACTGGGGCTAGCTCTGGGTCTGGTCCTAATCACTCTCTTCATTAATGGCTTGAACTGCAGATTAAAAATAATTTAAGTATTGTGGAGGGCTGGAGAGAGGACAAGGAGGAGAGAGATGGAAGTGCAAGCACCCTGACAGCCTCACAGCACCCTGAGGAGGCACCCTATCCTATCTTCCTAGGAAATCTTAAATTTAACCCATCCCAACAGCCACAAAACACCGTGACAAGGAGGAAAAAAGAGATAGTATCAGCTTTAATCAGTTTGATGTGGGCAGCAAATCACTGCTTTCCCCGAGGCAGGGAAAAGCTTCTTCAGGATTGCCACTTCAAACTCAGAGCACTGTGGTCTTGAAACAAAAAAACAACTAGGGACAGGCTACAGAACAACAAAAATGACAGGAAATTAAGGAATCACCAGGAAACACTCAAGAACTAGACTGGTTTGGTCCAGTGGGGAGAGAGGAAACCCACTGCCAAAAAAAGACTGGGAGGAAGGAGGGGGAAGTCAAGTCTGGCAAAAACACCCCACCCCTCTTACACGAGCATCAGTTATTGATTGCTGTGCACTGCAACTGGGCAGAGGAGAAACAAAAGAAATCTGATTCTCTGAAATTTGGATGCACTTATTTTCTCACAAATCGGGCTGAGCACTTTGCTGCAAACATGTTCTGTTCCTTCTCCTTGGCCAACTGAATCCTCAAACACACACCCGCAGTCTCCAAGCCTCCCATCTGCTGCTCCTCTCTGCCGTCCAAGACTTCCACAGAGAAACTGTTTGAATGTAAGAAACCTCACTCAGCAAAGCACTGCAGCCAGCACGGCATCTTCAGCTCCAAGTCTGGCCTTAAACCAGCATCCAGGGTGCCCTCCCAGGTGATCTGTGGAACCTGGAGATGTCCACAGAGAGGACCCCTGGGCCCCCTGCACCCTTGTGGAGCAGCAGCTGGGCCAGGCTGAAAGCAGCAGGGCACTGCAAGGGCATCAGATGCCCAGGAGCTGCCAGGCAAACCCAGCCATGCCAGGATACAGCACAAGCAGCGAGCGTGTGTCTGCTGGTTTCTATCCAGTGTTGTTTGACCAGTGTCATGACAAGGACTTTATATCCATTTGGACAGCACCCAGTGCAGGATCCCCAGMTTCAGCCAAGGTCTGAGAGCTCCTTAAGCCCCACTATGATGGGAGAATAGGACAGGGGGCTTTCAG